AATGATTCAGCACAACAATAATGTCATATTCTGTGTAGACCTGGTGGTTTGCACCTGTTTCGAGAGACTGCTTCTCAAGTTAGCATGTGGCTAATGGACAGGTTTTTGTCAAGACATAGAGCAAAGGAGCAGACCAACAGTTTGTTATTGTGTTTGGGTTAAGGTGTTAAGGTGCGTGTATTAAAAAAAAAAAAAAATCAGAAATATACATCTAACTCCAGTGTGTGCCAACATACTCTTAACCTCTGTTTGACTTCCACAGATATTTTATCATCCATTTTGTGAAGTGATAACAACTACTGGTTGAATAGTTGTTAGCGTCATTAATTAATCGTCAAGTTGACTTCGGCGTTATTGTCAGAATAATTGACGTAAAATTGTCCAAGAGCAGGGGTACCCAATCTCTGGTGCGGGGACCGGTGCCGGTCCGTAGGCCGCAGCGGGGCATAGTGAAAAAATGTACTTCAGTTTTATTAATTTACTTCATTCAAAAAGTATCCAGTTATATCCCTTTACTTTTTACATAGATAGATGATAGATTCAAAGATAATCTGTCAATGTTTCAAAACAACAGGTCATTCAGACTCTGATTCTAACAAAATAAAGTCTGAACGATATTAAGTTTTATTTTTAAAAATGTAATGATCCTGATACGGTATTACCGATCTGCAGTATCGGCTGATACCACCTGACCGGTCTTTGGTACAAAAAAGGTTGTGGACGACTGCCCTAGTGTGCAATGAATCAGCACAACAATAATTTTTAGGTACCCCCTCCATCTCTATCTAAAAGCCGCCCACAAAAAAAAAAAAAATTTAAAAAAAAATCAAAGGTTAGAATGACCTCAGTGGTTGAAGCGACACAATAACTGCAGGTTGTACAACTTTACTTTATGACAATAATCTTCATTTGCAGTCTGTTGCACATTGTCATCGCTCTCAAAAAGCCGTGGCAAATCTCCAGCTACATCTGATTGTGAAAGATTCATCACGTTCCACTGACACATCACATTGTCTGAGGTCGCTACAATTTTCCTCCCCCTGCTCCTTGCCGCCAAAAAAAGAGAAAATGATTAATGGGGTCGGGCCTTTGTCTTTATCTTTGGTACGGTATTATTTCAAGAGATTGACTGAAAATGACAAGTTTTCTTAGCCAAGTGAACAAAAGCTCGGAAAAAAATAAAATCCAAAACTCTCCCGACTGATATATATATATATATATATATCCACTCCACACAAACACACGCCGCTAAAGAATAGCACACAAAACCCCAGGAAACTCCAGCAGCACAGAGAGGTTAGGCTGGGAGTCAGGCTGACAAAGCTTCTAACGAGTGACACTAACGTCTGATTGGCTTTACCTGATCCTGCACTTCATTGTGTGTGTGTTTGTGTGTGTTTGCTGCCTCCCATTGGATCTTCTGTCAGACTAAAGAACTGGGACAAACTCAGTTCCCGCATGAGTGAGAGAAAAGTGGCAGTGAGAGAATAAAAAAATAAATAAAAAAAAAATAAGTGAAGAGATAATGTCAGGGTTGACACCGAGGCAATAGCAGACATTCAGAGAGAAAGACACAGATGGGGTGAAGAGATATATTTATATATATATATATATAAAAACAGGAATAGATTCTGTCTTCACAAGGGTACGTCCATCTTGAGGAAAAATATTTATAAATTGTAGTTCCTTTATAGCTCCTCCAGACATATGGAACAATATGCCACCATTTTACAAGAACGCGAGGCGTTAAAATGTCTTCCATTATCTGGGTAATGTTCTGTTTGTTTTGGAAAAGCAATTATTGAGAATTAGATCAACTGCAAAAAAAATTTTACTTTTATATTCCCTTTTAACTAAGTATGTCCGATATTAACTTTTTTGCTGTATATCTTGCTAATATCTGACATGCCGATATTGTCCAAACACTTAATTATTGAATCCGATATCAACCGATACCGATATATGTAAACATGTTAGTACCCCACAAGCAATTCTAGCATATTTGGTGAAACTTAGGCGTTATCGGGTTTTCATTATCAAAGGTAAAAGCAATAACGATACCATAATTATGCTAATATCAAGCCGATAAAATCACTTGGCCAATATTATGGGATATTCATACTCATACTTTTAACTCAATCCTGAGAGTCAGAGGGAAAACCAGATTATTTTACTTTTTTTTACACTATATATAAAATAAATGTTAAAAGTTAGCTAAAAATGTGCAAATCCTATAAATAGAAACAACAAACATCTGCATAGCAACGCTCAAATCTTAGCTTCAGCCTAAATATAGCCTCATTATAACAACTCCAATGAGAGTGAGAACACTTGTCCTCTAGTGCTAAAGATGTCTGACACCTGCTGTGTTAATTAGCAGATTTGGCCATGTGACCTACGTGGAGAAATGAAAGCATGTTCATTTTGATTAGGATGAACACATTAACAAAAACATATTTCGCCCATTATTTATGTTAGTTCAGATTTGCTCAGAGTTTTAAATTTTACGTTTAAAAGGGGACCATCTTGCTTTTTTTGGCAATCGTCAGCACACTAGGGTACACGAAGCCCACTAGGGTACACGAAGCCGTGTTTATAGTGCCGGTCCCAAGCCCGGATAAATGGTGAGGGTTGCGTCAGGAAGGGCATCCGGCGTAAAACGTTTAGCTAAATCAAATATGCAGATCAATAAAACGATTTCTATACCGGATCGGTCGAGGCCCGGGTTAACAACGACCGCCAACAGTGCCGTTGACCAACAGGGCACTGATGGAAATTGGACTACTGTTGGTCAGAGACAGAGTCAGAGACAGAGAAGAAGAGGAGGGCGTTTGGTTAGGAGAAAAAGAGAAAAGATGAAGAATAGAAGTGTTAGTCTGAAGTTTGGAACTTTGAATGTAGGTACAATGACAGGGAAAAGTAGAGAAATAGCTGATGTGATGGAGAGAAGAAGAGTAGATATTTTGTGTGTGCAGGAGACCAGGTGGAAGGGCAGTAAGGCTAGAAACATTGGAGGAGGCTACAAACTGTTTTATCATGGTTCAGATGGGAAGAGAAATGGAGTAGGGGTGATCCTAAAGGAAGAATATGTAAGAAATGTGGTAGAGGTGAAAAGAGAGTCAGACAGGTTGATGTGTGTGAAGGTAGAAGTAGAAGGAGAGATGATTAATGTTGTTAGTGGTTATGCCCCACAGGTGGGCTGTGAGTTGGAAGAAAAGGAGAAGTTCTGGAAGGAGCTAGATTGGATGGTAGAGAGTATCCCCAGGAGAGAGAGAGTGGTGATTGGAGCAGACCTAAATGGTCATGTAGGGGAAGGGAACAGAGGAGATGAGGAAGTGATAGGCAGGTTTGGTGTTAGGGAGAGAAACGTAGAAGGACAGGCAGTGGTAGATTTTGCAAAGAGAATGGAAATGGCTGTGGTAAACACATATTTCCAAAAGAAAGAGGAACATAGGGTGACTTACAAGAGTGGAGGCAGGTCCACACAGATAGATTATATTCTATGTAGAAGATGTAATCTGAGGGAGATTAGAGACTGTAAGGTGGTGGCAGGTGAGAGTGTAGCCAAACAACATCGGATGGTAGTGTGTAAAATGACGATGGAGGTGACAAAAAGGAAGAGAGTGAAGACAGAGCAGAAGATCAAGTGGTGGAAACTAAGGAAAGAGACATGTTGTGAAGACTTCAGGAAGGAAGTAAGGGCAGTTCTGGGTAGTGTTGAGATATTCCCAGATGATTGGGAGACTACAGCTGCAGTGATGAGGGAGACAGGTAGGAAGGTGCTAGGTATGTCCTCTGGGCAGAGAAAGGAGGACAAAGAGACCTGGTGGTGGAATGAGGAGATCCAGGAGAGTGTGCAGAGAAAGAGATTAGCGAAGAAGAGATGGGACAGTGACAGAACAGAAGAGAACAGACTGGAGTACAAAGAGAGGACAAGGGAGGTGAAGAGGGAAGTGGCCAAGGCCAAACAAAAGGCATATGAGGAGTTGTATGAGAGTTTGGAAACAAAGGAAGGAGAAAAGGAGTTGTATAGATTGGCGAGACAGAGAAATCAAGCTGGGAAGGATGTGCAGCAGGTGAGGTTGATTAAGGACAGAGAGGGGAATGTGATCACAAGTGAGGAAAGTGTGCTTATGTGCTCGTGGTGACAATATCCGCTGCTGCCAAGGTTATGACATTAAACCCCCGAAGGACACACTGAGCATGGCACTATATTTATCGCGTTCTGTCTCTCTCTCTCTCTCTCTGTCTCTCTCTCTCTCACACGTAGACACTCACAGACATATGAGAAATTCAGAGGGAACGTCGGGAGGAGAAAGGGGCGGGGAAAAGGGCGGGAAAGGTCATTATCTCCATGGATCCATGTTTGATACGGACCCCCAAACCGACGTGAGCACGGCTATGCTTTTTTTTTTTAAATGAAGATTACACAATGAGTCTCAACACTGTGGTGTGTTTGCGTGCATCTGTGTGTGTTTTGTAAAATACTGTACAACATGTGATGTCAAGTCAAACATCCTAGTATGGCCCACAAGCTGAAGATAGAGAAGAGCAAACTGGGGGGGGGGGGGGGGGGAAGGTGACGCTTCCCCTCCTTGTCTCAAAACCTGCTTTGATTTCACAAGGTCCACAAATCAAAAGCTTGACTCAGGGTTTCTGTAGGAAATATTTAAATTACCTCTCTACACATCTTTCAGTTTTTTGACCCGGCGAAGTCTCAGTGTGACAGACGTAAAAGTCAGGGAAAAAATATTTGCCTTTCGCGATGTGAATTAACCTCAAGGTGGCATTTTGAACTTTACCGTCTTTCAAAGTTAGCTCTGTAAAAAAAAAAAAAAAAAAAAATGTGCAGATGCCCCGAGTCAGGACTGGAATAATTTGTAGACCTTGATCTCTCGACTCATTCTATTTCTTACTTCCATTTATTTCCTCAGGTGGTCTCTCTCCTCTTTTTTTTCTTTTCTTCACCAAAGCATCATATGGGTTCAAATCATACATACCTCCTTGTCTACATATTTTCTTTCCTGGTTTCCTGGCACATTCCTTGGATATTCTTTTGACTGTAAAATGAATAGAAGACTAAAGAATAACATGGAGCCCCTGGACACACAATATGCACACAGATACGCACACGCACGGATGCGCCCACACACAACCCACTGCAAACGCGCGCGCACGCACGCACTCACAAAGCTGATTGGCTGAAAATGACTTAGAAAGGGAGGGAAAGCGGTAAAAAAAAAAAAAAAGACAGAAGGAAAGAATGAATCACTGCAGCTCAATCAGCGCACCGTTTAGCCAATCAGTCAACCAGCCAGTCTCTCAGCAATTCTGCCAAATCAATCAGTGATGATCATGACAACGACTGTCTTGTTTAATGAACTGCAGCCTTTGTGGCAGAGCACAATAGGCGGTGATGAGCCTCAGAAGGTGATGAGTGGAGAGAAGAAGTCTGGAGAGGAGAACTCACTAATGGAGAACGGGAAAAAAGATGAACGATAGGACAGGATCGAAGGAGAGACGCGTGGGATGCATGGACGGATGGATGGATGGATGGATGGATGCCACCACACTTGTACTCCACTCCGTCAGTCATAAAGACGCGCTCGCACACACACTTGAGGCAGTGTCATGCACATTGAACATGCACAAGTCTCATGCGGTCTCTTAACGGACGCGTGTACGAAGGAGAAAGACAGACAGGAACGACAGACAGACAGACAGACAGACGGACGGACGGACGGACGAGACAGAAACCCACAACGACACAGATCACACACGTATCTACAACTCTTCTGTCGACCAGAAGGTTGTGGGATTTTGATCACCCCC